ACAAGGGTTAAGCAGGAGGTTTGAGTTATCAAAGGTCCCAATGACAAGATCCATATGCTGTATGCAATTCTGATTGTCATCCCCTGAGAGTTCTTGTCATCTGCAAAAACAACAAATAATCCACCACCTGTATTTGTCCCAAGTCTTATATCCCCCATCACAAACCCAGCAAAAGCATAGTCAAAGAAAAAAAGGGGCTAACAGTTGTATAAATAGGGTGGAGATTTTCTTGTCTCCCAGGGATTAATCCTCAGAGGGGAAGGGGGGGGGGGCACCAAGGGTCGACACTATTACCACCGACACCGCGGGTCCAGCTCAGGGAAGTAGGAGAACCCGCCGGGGTTCGGAGCCGTGGGATATTTGCCAGGTGGCCGGACTGCTGCCGCTGCTGCTGTTGGGTACCATCAGGACCCCGGCAATGAGAGACAGGAACTATATAGTACAAAATAAAATAAAAAGTAGGAGAAAATAGGGGGGGAAGGAAAGCCAGGTTTTACCATATAGTGAGCCACGCGGCCTAGCCGTCGCACAAGCGTGCCTGGACACGTGTCCCGCGGGGGTCGACGGCGGCTAAAAAGAAAAAAAAAAAAGAGGGGGTGGTGGTGGCGTCCTTGCGTGGGAAACCCCCCCCCCCCTTCTTCTTCTTCTCTGGGAGCGATCCCCCAGTGTTATTTTGAAAGGATTTAAAAGTGTCCAGCGGTGGGGACTGTCCGGGTGGGAAAGGAAAAAATATTAGCCCCGCCTCCAAGGTCCCCCCCCCCTGTTCAAAAGTTCAGGAGGGGGTGGCTTGTTTCATTATACAGTTGAACCTTTATAAAAGTCAAACCTCACAAAGTTGAACACATCCATGAATGCAGTATTTTTTTTTAAGTCCTTGTTTGAATTCCCTTGGAACCAATGCACTGGAAACATCACTACAGTTGAGCCTCCTTAAGTAAAATGCCCCCAAAGTTGAAAATTTTTCAAGTCCTTGTCTGAATCCCCTCAGGAACATTACAGTAAAAACCTCCCTAAGTGGAAGGCTTTTTCCCTGCAAACCTCCAGAAGTTGAATTTTCTGTGGCCTGTTGGCTATTATTTTCTTGACACAAGAAAGAAAAAATCAATAAAAAATAGAAATTGACGTGTTTTAAGAGGAATTGAAAGAATCAATTGGGCAAATGAATCCCTGCCTTCAAGTTCAGCATCCTTTCAACTCATTCAAGAAGCAATTTGAGACCCAGAAAATCACCATTTACAATTGTGGGCAATGTTTCTATGTCTCCCAGAACAAAAGGGCTTTGTATTGTAGCTTTTTGAAAGGAAGTGAAAGATTAATTTGGAAAATGAACCCCTGCCTCCAAGTCCAGCAACTAATCAACTCATTCTATGAAGTCATTTAAAGCCAAGAATATCACCATTCCCAATTTCCTGCAATTCTTCTATCTTTCCCACAACAAAAATGTTTGTTTACTTACTCAAAAACTCCCTAAGTTAATTTTTTTGCAGTTCCCTTGAAATTCAACTTAAAAGGTTCAACTGTATTCTGTTCAAGTCTTCAAGGGCACATTTTCCCCCTGAAAAATCAATGACATAAGTAGGAGTTCTCTCACACATAAACTTTTCAAATAATTGTAAGCTTTGACAGGTGGACTCTCTTTACAATAATTTATTTTCCAAATTTAAAATGTTCAGAGAAGCATTTACCTTACTTTAAATCAAAACCTGCTTTTTAGGAAAAGCTGAAAAATTTAAGGTCTTACTTTCTATTACCTTCAAGGAATATTTAGAAGGAATTTTTTGAAATTTTAAAATTAATTAATTTTCTGGAATTTTCCGAGATAATTCTGGATGTAAAATGCTTTGTATGAACAGTTTAAAGATATTCAGAAATACTTTTAATATAATGTCTAATTAGAATAAGAAACACATGACAAATTTCCATCCCGCCAGAAGAGGATAGGATATTCGTCAATATATCCTGTCCCCTCGGACATGATGTTCCCATGGAATAAATTCAAACTGTTGCTCCCGGGTTTCGCAACCCTGGGTTCCTGGGTTCGACAGCTGCCACACGGCTGCCGGGCCAGGAACCGTGGGAACGCGTTCGGGGTTCATTCCCAATCCCGCGCATCTGACCCGGGGGTAGGAATTCCTGAAACCCTGTCTGATTATTTGTCCGATTTCGCCGCCTTATTATTTTCATTTGTTACTGGTTCTGGACCTGCATTCATTATTCTCACGCATCCCACTTTTCAGCAAGTTTCCAATAATGCACTATTTTGGATAAATAATTGGAAGTTTCTCTTAGTATTTGCCTAAAAAAACCTGAGATTTATTTTATGTTCCTCTTCAAAAAGCTATCAATGGTTTATCTTGAATTGGTTATATTTTACAGTTGAGCTTGGATGTCTGGAACCTCCCCAAGTTGAATATACAATATCCCTAATTCAAACTTTTTTGGTGGTCCCTTATTGAAATTTGACTTTGAAAGCTTTGACTTGTACAAGTACAGTTGAGCCTTTCTAAGTTGAATTTATTGGGACAATAAAAAAATGTAGTTAGGGAGGTCTCAATTTTTAGAGGTGCCAAGTTGAGGTAACAAACATTTT